TTGGTCCTCTTTCTCACCCAGGCTCATGCCTTTATTTATTTATTTATTTTTAAAGATTTTATTTATTTATTCATGAAACACACAGGCAGAGAGAGAAGCAGGCTCCCCGGAGGGAGCCCGATGAGGGACTTGATCCCAGGACCCCGGGATCACAACCTGAGTCAAAAGCAGCCGCTCAACCGCTGAGCCACCCAGGGGCCCCCAGACTCATGCCTTTAAAGGCCAAGTCTAGGTCAACGCCTAGTGTTACATCTCCACGCGGGACCTCTCTCCTGAACTTCAGGCTGTGCATTCAGTAGCTTACAGGGTATCTCCCCAGCAGGTCTCTACCTCAGACTCAACCGGCCCAGGCTGTGCCGGGCCTCTCCTACAAAGAGGAGATACCTCCTACAAAGCCATAGGCCTCTCCATCCTGGTAAGGGCAACTCCAATTCTTCTAGTTCCTTAGGCCCACAGTGTTGGAGTCATTCTTGAATCCTCTTTATTTCTCTTACCCCACAAAGATCCTGGGATCACAACAATCCTCCAGTGTCTGCTTTCAAGCTATTTCCAGAAATCCGACACTTCTCACCACCTCCATTCCTACCACCCCTGTGTGAGCCAGCATCATCTCTCACTGGGACTGTTGCCTTGAAGCCGGGCTCCTTTCTTCTGCTCTTCCCACTCCTGATGAGTCTCAACACGGCAGTCAGAGGAGTCTTTGAAACATAATTGATGTCCAAAGCCTGCAGTGGCTCCCATTTCAGTCAGTCAGAGCCGTCCTCCGAAAGGCCTTCGTCATTAGGCCCTTGAACTTCTGTGACCTCCTGACCTCCACATCCCCCACCCTTCACTTTCCACGCAGACCTTGCAGTTCCCAGAACACCCTGTCACCCTCCTGCCTGAGGGCCTGTCACTGTGGGTTCTCTCTGCTTGAACAGCCCTTCCTCCAGGTACCTGCATGCATGGCTAACCCCCCTCCTTCAGTCTTCGCTTGGTTAACATCGGCTCATACAACCTCCTGGGCACGTGCCCCCGCCCCCGCGCTCACACTCTCCTTCCTTTAGCTACTTTCTTTTTTGCTGTTGTATTACCTTTGGACCAACTCTGCGATTTACTTATTCATTTGTTGATTTTTGTTGTCTTTCTTCTTCAGCTAGAAGGTAAATTCAAAGGTCAGGAGCCTCATCTGTTTGGTGCACCGATGTACTGCGAGTACCTGAAACAGTGTTCAGCACGTAGTCATTACATATTTGTTGCTTACTTAATGCATGAAATGTTGAATTGGGTCTTTGGCTTTTCTGCCTTCCAAAGGCTGACGCTGAAGAGTGATATATTTTTTTTAAGATTTATTTATTTATTTGTGATAGACACACACACACACACACAGAGAGAGAGAGAGAGAGAGAGCGAGAGAGAGAGAGAGAGAGAGAGGCAGAGACACAGGAGGAGGGAGAAGCAGGCTCCATGCCGGGAGCCCGATGCGGGACTTGATCCCGGGACCCCAGGATCGGGCCCTGGGCCAAAGGCAGGCGCTAAACTGCTGCGCCACCCAGGGATCCCCTCCACTACTTATCTTAACTTGGATCTGCTTTGTCTTTTTCCAAGGCCAAAATCACCTTCCTGGGACTTTATTTTATTTTATTATTTATGATAGAGAGAGAGAGAGAGAGAGAGAGAGAGAGAGAGGCAGAGACACAGGCAGAGACACAGGCAGAGGGAGAAGCAGGCTCCATGCACCGGGAGCCCGACGTGGGATTCGATCCCGGGTCTCCAGGCTCGCGCCCTGGGCCAAAGACAGGCGCCAAACTGAGGCGCCACCCAGGGATCCCTTCCTGGGACTTTCTATTTTCTTTCTGAAAATAGTCTACAGTTGAAATTGCCCTCATTTATTCCCAGAAGTTCCCCAATATTCTTAATTTCTTTGCTCAAGACTCTGGCAACTTTCATGAGAGCCTCCACTCTACTGATTCTGAAGGACTGTAACTTTTACTCCCTGTCCCCAGTGCTTCTTGGACTACATTTCTTTCTCACGGACTATGTGGCATAGGTGAACTCTTGAGGAAAAAACTGTGCTCTCTTGGTCTGTTGGAACTCTAACCTAGAGTTGCGGGCTGAGGATATCAACAGGACTTCACTAAAAACAAAACAAAACATGTTTTATGTTTTCTAAACCAAAACCCTGACACCAGAAAGGGAACCTGTGAAGGTTGATTCCTGGGTATCAGGGATTTGTTTCCATCCCATGCGCCTTGCCAGAACTTCTTTACATTTCCACCGGGCCAGTTTATTTAACTGTAGTTTCCGTTCCCGAGATTTGAGTATCTCATTGTCTGCTTCGGGTTAAATTCATTAAATATTTTGATAAGGATTATTTTAAAAGTGTTTGTGTGTGTGTATATATATATATACACACACACACACACTTATATTTCTTAAAGTTTTATTTGTTATTCATGAGAGACACAGAGAGAGGCAGAGACACAGGCAGGGGGAGAAGCAGGCTCCCTGTGGGGAGCCCTATGTGGGTCTTGATCCCAGGACCCCGGGGCCACCCCTTGAGCCAAAGGAAGACACTCAACCACTGAGCCACCCAGGCGTCCCTAAAGGGGTCTTGACTCCTCAGGAAGACACCTCCCAGATTAGTGCTATCTTTGTACATCCTCTGTGCTATCATTAAAGTCAAATAGAGTAAGATTGTTCTTAAATTGTGAGTAGCTGTGTCTATAGTTCTGCACTTCCCAGAAGGTTAAGGGTTAATGATTTTTTTAAAGTGCTGAGTTATGTTTACTTTCATAAATAAAAAACAAGGGATACAGGGAAGGGCTAAGAACTTCAGAGGTTTAGTAGCTCATATTTACAAGTTTTTACTAGTATCTGAAAAAATATGGAGATGCTTCATATTAACTCAGGATACCGTGATGTGTGTACTACTGCCCAGCAATACCACGAGGAGTGAGGGGTGAGTGTTGGGTGTGGCTAGGGGGTCTCCAAAGGCAAAAGGTTAGCCACCTTGGACACTTTCTCCATGTCTCATGGGCTAGCTTTTATTCCAATTATGTTAAAATATGTTCATCATAGTCCTAGTAAAGTATCAAGCAATTTATGTCTTTAAAAAAATGGAAAAAAAAGGGATCCCTGGGTGGCGCAGCGGTTTGGCGCCTGCCTTTGGCCCAGGGCGCGATCCTGGAGACCCGGGATCGAATCCCACGTCGGGCTCCCAGTGCATGGAGCCTGCTTCTCCCTCTGCCTGTGTCTCTGCCTCTCTTTCTCTCTGTGTGACTATCATAAATAAATCAAAATTTTAAAAAAATGGAAAAAAGGTACTGATTTTTGCGGAGTGTGCTAAGAGGGAGCTACTTCTCTCTAAACCTTTCCAGGAATGTTTCCAGCCTACCCTGCTATCCTCTCCCTTGTTTTTCTCTCTTCGGTTTAATTTTTGCTACCTAATTATTTGCCTCATGGTAGTAAAAGGATCCTTCACACCAAACTCTGCAGGTCTTTGTTCTGAGAAGTAAAATCTCCTTTTGTTCCTATCAGCTTTACAAGTTCAAAACCATGCACAAGTGAAGGAAGTGGTTTTGAACATGCAACAGGGAATATTTTCTAGAAACTCAGATGCTCTGAAAAAAATGTTAGCTTTCCTAGAAAATGTTTCAGATTTTCTTTCAGGAAAATCTGAATTTTGTTCTTGGGATGAATCACACACTTGGGTGTGTGATTGTTAGAAAGCAGAAGTTTGCTCAAATATTATGCGATATCCTTTATGACATAATTATGTCCCAGGATAAGGATTTTATTCGTCCTTTCATAAATGTGAGGGTTTTATCTGGACTTTTTTTTTAAGATAAAAAATTGGAAGTGCCAGTGAACAGGAGAGCTTGGTTCCTGTTTCATGGAGTCAAAGAATGAATCTCAGGGACGACAGTGAGCAAACGGATATAGAAATTTATCAAGCAGAGATTCGGAGAAAGCTCTCAAGAGTGAGAGGGGTCCCCACAGGGTGGCCACTGGGGTGGGGGGCGTCTTTTATAGGAAACTGACCAGGGAACTTGGTAAATTTTGCATCAATATCAGGGTGGATTTGTGAATATTTAGAACAAACATGGAGGATTTGTAACAAACAAGATGTTTCTTTGTGAATATCCTGAGCACAAACAAGGTGTTCCTCTCTGGGTAAGGGCTCCTCCATAACACTCTCTGCACCTGGGTTTCTGTGATCACTTAGTAGCCATTTAAGGGGGAGACTCCCTAACACTATGGAGCTGCGGAGCCGGGTTTATTTTTTATTTTTACTGTTTTATCTGTTTCCTTGGGAGGGGTAGGAGCCTGACTCGGGCCTTTCGGTGCCCTTGGGGTTAATGGGAGGCCAGATTCCTGGAAGCCTGACTCTGGGCCTTTCCCTGCCTAGCGCCCTCTGCCCCTAACTCCTTCCTACATCACTGGGAGTCAGGACCGGACTAGGACTCCTGGAAACGAAAGGCAGATATTTTGGGGCGCCTTCCTCTGCACTCACCACCCCGCGGGCTATCCCCACGTGCACCACGCAAGGCAGAAAATGCGTCTAGAGGAGATTCTACAATGTGCGGACTTTTCACCATACATCCCTCTTCAGAATCTGAATTGTAAAACGGACAGTGTTGACTTCGCAGGTGCCCTTAGCGGGGCTTGCTGGTGTAGCGCGGTGCGGGGTGTGCTCTCCGGGTGTGTAAGGACGGGGCCTCGCGCGCCCGGTGTGTTCGCACCTGTGCACACCGTGCAGGGCCGGAACCGCGGAGGTGGACGCGCGGGGAGGCCAGGACCCTGGGCGAGTCCACACCTGCTCGGGGAGGCCACCTGTACAGCCCCGCCCCTGGGGCAGGCCCCGCCCCCAGCAGGCCCCGCCCCTCAGGGCCCACGCGGGAGGCGGGGCCAGGCGCCTCGGCCAATGAGCGCCTGCGGGCCGGCGGGACGCGGGCGGTCTCCCTGGCGACCAGTGCGCGGCCCCGCCCCCGCCCGAGCCTCCCGCGCGGCCGAGCGCAGGCTCCAGAGGCTGCCGCGGGGTGTGCGCGCCGCCAGCGATGGGCAAGTGGAGCCTGGCGCGGAAGCCCGGCCGCACGCTCGGGGTCCTGCTGCTGCTGCTCCTGGGCTTGCTGGTGCTCCGCAGGTGAGCCGCCCCCGCCCCACCCCCGCCCCCGCCCCCCGCGCCCGGAGGTCCCCCCGGCGGAGGCAGCCCCGGCACCCCGAGCCCCCGGGCGACACCGGGCGCTTGCGCTCAGTCTCCGGGCGTCGGGCCCCTTCTCGGTGCTCGTGGTCCCCGCTCTGCTTCCTCCGAGGGCGCTCCCAGCTCCTTGGGCGGCCAGCACGGCTTCAGGTCGCCTCGCTTCGCCCGGTCCCTGCTGCACCCCTCGTCCTCCTTGGGAGCCTGCTTCTGCTTCCCCGGGCCCCCGCATCTCCTAGCACGTCTGCCGGGGGGCTGCTCGTTCGCCAGAAGCCAGCGCTCCTGGACGCGCACCTGCGGGTGGTCGGTGCCGCCGCCCCCCTCCCCGGCGGCTCCTGGACGCTCCCACCTGCGGCGCAGTCCTGAGGACGCTGCCCCGCGGGCCCTCGGAGAACCTCAGTCTCTCCAACCCGGACTTCTAGCCCCACTGTAGGACTGATGCGTCTGGTCTCCACCTTCCCAGGTCGGTGGGCCATCGGCTCAGCCCTGCCCTCCCCCCTTTACAAAGTGGCTGTGTCTGGCGGTAGAAGGCCTGGACCTGCAGCTGCAGCCGCGGTGCCCCAGCCCGGGACTTGGGGGACTGGGTCTGTTTATAGGGTTCTAGGGTTCTGACCAGGTCTTTCCGGTTGATGGCTGGCACTTTCCATATTCAAAACCTCCCGTGTTGCTGGGGAAGCCGACCAGGGGTATCAAATGCTTTGGCCCTGAAAGTTAGTGTTGAGGAAGCTGAAGGTGACCTCCCTTTTCAGCTTTATTTTTTGCTTTTTCCAGCCCCCTTCATTAGTTTCTCTGAATTTCCTCTAGGGGATTGGGAGGAATAAATACCTAAGTATTTTTTGCTGCCATGGAACATATTCAGGAACTTGTTTCCACCTTTGTAAGACTTACATGTCTTTGCTTTACCTGTTCTGGCTTTGGAGTGGGTGAGATGTTATAATAATCATTTGAGAGAGAGAGATGGTGCTCTTCTCACTCAGGGGTCTAGAAAACTGAAGGGGCAATTTGTTTCCAGTGGTTTCTACGCCCTTTTTCCACCTTGTCAGTGATCTCTAACCCATTTTTCTGTGAAGACTGGTCCTGGCTCTTGTAGGTTGCTCAGGCTTCCTCTTGATGCAAGGCTGATGCAAAGCCCAGAGGATTACTCAAAGCAGAGGGAACAGGAGTCTCCGTCATACAGCAGGAACCAAGGAGCCCACACCCCAGAGAGAAAGGCCACAGGTGTGCAGGTGGCTTGTGGTTTGCCCATTGCTGGAGGTCGAGAAAATGGCAGTCCACGCAGAGGCACGGGGGGCCGCTCTGAGGCCTGGAGCCGGGCGGCTGTGCGCCCTAATCATCCACAGGGAGAGGGGTGGGAAGGAGGCTGGGTGTGTGTTGGTGTTGAGCAGGAAGGAGGATGAGGTGTCAGGTAGCTGACTGGCTGAGAAGGAGCCTGAGCTGCCGGGGGCAGTTGCCCGTGGCCCTGCCTGAGGCGAGTGGCCATGGCAGGAGTCAGTGGGGCTTGTGGCGTGTGTGCCTGGGAGTCGCTGTGGCTCAAGCCTGAGGAAACGGCTGGAAAGTTCTCCCTGCTGACCCCCACTTCTCAGCCGGGAAGACAGAGGCCGCAGAAGCTCTGAGCCCAATTCAGGGCCATCTCTTAGGGTCCTTCAAAATCTGTGTCTCTTGGGCGTCGTTAGTTGTAGCCGCCTCATGGTGTTGCCCAGGTCCTCCTCCTGCTTGGCCTGGACACCGAGGATGCTCTCCGGACGGCAGACGAGAGCACCTTGCGGCTTCCTCTGCTGGCCTTGCTCGAGCTTGGCCTAGGTCACTAACCGAGCGGAGGTAGGGCCCTCTCAGGGCTGCCGGGCTGTGGCCGTGGCATGTAGGCCCCATGGGACCTGGCTGCTCAGTGGCAGCTCTGTGGAGTGGAGCCGTGGGGATCAGCCCTTTCCCTGTCCCTCAGAAGGCGGGGATCTGGTGATGGGCAGTGGCGCTGGGCCCCAGCTTTTGTTTTTTCCATGGACTTTACCTTGGGCTGGTTCATGCTCAGTCATAGCTGCTTGATTATGTCACATCCAAGAAATAGGACCAGGATGACTTTTTGAGGATGATTTCAACCTTCCGTATTTTGGAGCTTGGACACTGGTCTGAAGTTAACCTCTGTTGCCGGATAACTGTCATGCTCAAGTTGTACTTGTGTAGCTGGTACGGCTGGATAGGCTGCGGTGCGTGTGTATCCACCTGTGGAAATCCCCCTATGGTCGGGGGTGGAGATGCCCACCGGCGCCCGGAATTCGCCTGTGTCCTGTGTGTCCCTCCTGTGCCCTTCCCTGCTCCCCCACTCCTATACACCCGGCTCTGCCGCGATGTGTCTGCATTTTTTAGAGCTTTATAGAAACGTAATCCTAAGGTAAATACTCTGCTTTGATTTGGCCTCTTTCACTCCGTGTTAGGTGGAGATCTTTGAAGCATATCAGTGTGAAGAGTTAGTTGCCCTTCCTGGACTTTCCTCCTCCCACTCCGTAGACGCCGGAGTGCCTGCTTGATACCATCAGGACATGGTTCCCACTCATGACTCTTTTCCTTACCATAAATGCATCACTGAGCAATAATTAATTAACCCAGCATCGTTCAAACCTGATATTTTAGCTCAGCTAAAAAAAGTCAGGAGAGTGGAAAGTGGCCAGGTAGGCGCTCTGCATCATGCCTCCTGAAAGGTAAGTTCACCTGTTTGCCCAGCTCTGCCTCACTCAGAGCTCTTGCCCTGGCATTATCTGGATTCCAGGCCCTACACTCTTCCTGGAGGAGAGGAAAGGAGAGCCTATTAAATCATTTATTTATTTATTTATCTATCTATCTATCTATCTATCTATCTATTTATTTTTTAGATTTATTTATTTATTTATTTTTATTATTTTCTTCTCTTTAGAGAAGGTGGATCACTTAGCAACATGACCTGGTCACCTTCTTTAATCCAGATCATGGCCAGTCCTGTCTTTCAAGGATGTGTGGGCAAATGGTGCCTTTCTTCCTGGGCCTCTGTGAGGTCATTTTTTAATGACTTTTTTATGATTTTTATGAGCTTTGCCTGTTGCAGGACTCTACCCTGCTTGAGGCCTGAGTCATATTTCCTGGAATCTTCGAATCTTTGAGCACTGTTCCTTTGATCTTCTAGTAGCGAGTCTTCAGCACCTAGGAAGTGTCTGTTTCAGCAGGTAGTCATTTCTCAGACACAAGTGGGGAAACGTGGCTCCCAGGACATGGTTCAGTCAGAGCGCGGGGTAGGATGTCTGAGTCGCCCTGTGCTGGGAAGATGGTGGGCCTTACCAGCCAACTGAAAGGGGACCAGAGTGTCTTAAAGCAAGAGCATGGTCACCAGTGGTGTATCTGTGATTAAAGTGGGGTACTAGGAGATTCAGGGAAAAGCTACGCAGCCTTGGCAGCAGACGTATGGGAAGGTTGGCCAAAGAGTTCTCTGTACCTTGGGTCAAGGAAGTAGCACGTGAAATAAAAACACTTCATCTTTGATGAAATGACTCAGAGTTCCATTATATCGCCTTGAACGGTCTTCTAATGAAGTTTCAGGAAATGCTGGAATTTAGAGCGGTCTTTTCAGAACATTTAGCACCTGAAAAAGACTGAAGGCCCTCCCCCTTCTCCCCTGTTCCTCCCCCATCATCCAGCTCAGTTCTTCTGGTTTAGGGGTATTTGCTGCTTCCTCCCCACTCAATTTTATTTCTTGCTTAAATCTTGCTCTGGATATCAAAGGCCCTGTTGAGAAAGAGTTCCCGTTGCGTGAGACTTCTGGGATAAAAGGGCAGGAGTATTTTTGGACGCTAATGGTAATGAAGCAGGTAACTCTTGACTGGGGTCTGCGGGTAGAGACTCCTAGTTGATGATGCTCACGGCTTTCATACTCCTGCAGCAGGACAGACGGATGGTGGCATTGTTCCTTTCAAGAACGTGCTGTGTCTTCCTGCAAAGCTTGCCTTGTGGGTCGGTAATCTACGTAAAGGACGAAGTATTCAAATAATACAGGGAGGAAAATAAAGACCCCCTAGGAGCCCCTCTGCACCCTAGTAGAGGTGATAATGATGATGTTTCTTGCAAGGCTACTCTGGGCATGGACAGGAAGATCGCTCTGTGTGTTACCCCAGGTGCCATTAGGGATAGGGTTTATTCAAACGGGTCCCTGTTGACAGACATCAATTGTTTGCAGTCTTTTAGCTCCTGCAGACTTGCAGTGTATGTCAGCTACACTGGAGTTAACATAAAGCCCAAGCACTAACCCCCCCCCCCCCCCGCCCCAAGGTTGCAGTGAAGATCTGCTGGGTGTATTTCTGTACCTAGAATTGCTCACCATATGAGATACTTGTTTTAAATCCTGATAGACATTTAAAATAAGTAAAAAATAAGTTAAAATAAGTAAATAGCACATTCTATGTCTGTTGGATCGATGTGAGGTAGGTTCTGAGCTCCATAGATGGAGGGGGAAGTTGTTTAATCTGCGTGTGTATAGGTTGTGTCTTTAAGAACTAGTCCATCTCCTATATATATATATATATGTAGATAAAAGTCTCGTGCTGGATTTTTTAAAAAGATTTTATTTATTCATGAGAGACACAGAGAGACAGAGACACAGGCAGGGGGAGAAGCAGGCTCCATGCGGGGAGCCTGATACAGGACTCGATCCCGGGACCCAGGGGTCATGCCCTGAGCTGAAGGCAGATGCTTAACCGCTGAGCCACCCAGGCGTCCCTTATGTGGTGGATTTTAAAAAATATTGATCATATTTACGTTTCCCCTTGTTTCATGAAATCATTTTATTCTGATTCCACACGCATCTTAGAGATCTTAGATCTTAGAGCATCTCTAAGCACTATGTCAGTAGAGGTTTTGCATTTTTCTAATGGAATTTTCACCTCTATTTTGAGAAAAGACTTTTTCTATTTATGATGTCGCAATGGAAA